TCTCTCTCTCTCTCTCTCTCTCTCTCTCTCTCTCTCCTTCCTCGCGCCGACTACTTCGCCCTCTCTCACCGACTCGCCGTATTCGTTCTTTTCACCACTCTCGTAGCTCGTTACATCACAGCCTTCCATCTCCGTCTTTCGTTCTACCGCGACCGTCCTAATGTCAATCCGCGCGTCTCCGACTGCGTCTGTCCAACTTTTCTGTATCTACATTGCGTATCTTCGTTCTCGTCAACGGCTGATTCCGGGCGTGCCATGCAGGCTCTTTTTTCGCCCTTTTCCACTTTGCTCGTTTGCGAGTTTGATATTTCGTTCGCTCCGCGCCTCCCTCGCGACCCGCCAGTATCGCTGTCACTCTACGTTAAGCTTTCAGAATTTTCCCCTGTCTACGTCTACTTTGCATCACGGAATTGAGCGTGCGTTTCCATCCGAACGTGTCTGATTTCGTTTACCATGGAGGACTCTGTCCTTCTCTTTCCATCTCCTTGTTTTATAATCTACCGTAAATTGTGTTTGAAGATGTCGCGGATATTTCAATAGAAATATTGAATTTTAATCGAAAAATATACGGTACGCAAATAAAATTTAATTGTTTTTATTGTTTTAATATAGATTAATACAAAATAAACTTAATAACAAAAGTAAGTAAGTTTATTTTGTATTAATCTATATTAAAACAATAAAAACAATAAAAACAATTAAATTTTATTTGCGTACAGTATATATATTACATAAGTATAAATATAAATTTAGATTAATATAATACAAATTTTATTATTATTGGAAAATAATTGCGCGGTGACTGAAAATTTGCCGCGAATAAAACTGATAGATCCACCGGATTGCATTGCGAGTATAGCGGAAACAACTGAACTATTTCAGAGATGGAAAAAAAATAAATACCACATCGCGCTCCGGGCTGTAACGTCATCACGCGCTGCGTGAGATCCCAACGAATTCGAGCCCCATGAAAAAAATAGTACTCCGCGGTAAGTGCTTTCTTGCGTGGGTGTAACTTTCCACGATTCTGCTAGAAGTTTACAGAATCGTAAATGTAAATGGCGACGAAAAAGTTTCTGGAGGACGTTACGGAAGGAAAGCGGAATGGGAACTTTAAGGAGGACACTTCCGATTTGCTTTTTGATTAATTAAAAGGAGCGAATTATCCTTTGTCATTATTTCAACTCGATAAGCTAGAAAGGGAATGAATAAATTAATAGCTAATAAATATAATCTCTCATAACATGAGAGACGTTGACTTAGTTAATATATACTCTTCTTCATAATTTAGTTAATGTTAATGAATTATTTATAAATTCGAGACAGTTTCAGATTTTCTTTTTCTGCGCTTCGAATTGAATCTCTTAGACCGTTCCATTATAAATACAGATAAAAATTTGCATTTGAATAATCAAGCTCCTTTATATTATTCTGTTTATAATATATTTTGTGAAAATTACGCACGGAAAAAGAATAATAATTTTTCATTTGTCTAACGCAAACTTGGCGCATTTTTATGATTTTTATGATTTTTCTTCTTTTCGCATGCAGGGCAACATTCATTAAAAAAAAAAAAAAAACTAGTGTACTCAGGGTACGGCATATTAATTTTTCAGCGAGGCTCGCTTACTTCTGGAGAATTTTCGGGACGCAAAGTATTCGGACGTATTAACGGTGACCTAGATTCCCGGGATAAATTGTACAGGCACTTCGGGGTTTCTATGACCATGCGTGTAATCCAACCCTAATCGGGAGAGACAAACTACGAAAGTAAATAATATTGTTTGCAAATCGACATTCGAAGCCCCGAGCGACGACATCGCTCGAACTTATAATTCGACCGACAGATCGTATTTGCGATACTACAAACAGATTTGTTTGCCTCTTTCTTATATGCGTATCGATCATCGCCCACACGATGTAATGACCGAAATTCTCTCTCTCGGTCGGTAGTCGAATATTTTATTAGATAACAAATTTATTCTTATGCAATATGCAAAATATTTCCTTCAATGGCCAAGTATTATAATCAATAACAGTGCAACAAGATCATCTCTGCGTTAGTGACTATTGTTCGTTCATCAATTATTTTTTATTCGTATGTCTATCAACCTCTTTTTATGATTAAACAAATTTCTACAGATTGAGAGAAATATCAAAGTCTTTCCGGTAAAATTAAATATATAAAATTTAATTGTTTTTAAAATACCATGCGAGATTTACATAAGGTGAACTTTACCTTGAAATACTATCATCCTCCTTCGCGCCCTCCGTTGTAATCCTTCTCGCAATATCTCCGACACTTCCCGATCTTTCTATCAAACCTTCGTGCAGTATCGTGAGTTCCGGTCTGTCTGGCTGCGCGAGGCTGCCGATTTTAAAGGGAAATTGCTCCTGCTCCTTCTGATCCTTGATTAATCTCTTCGAGCCCTCGCTTCCGGTTCTGCTGAGTCGCCTCTCCTTGAGATCTTTACCGTGCTCGCCCGTCTCCCCTTCGCCATTGTCGGAGACCTTCGATAGATCCAGAAGAATCTCCGGCTTCAGATTTCTCACGGACACCTTGCGATCCTCGTCGGAGCTGGCTCTGTCTTCCGCCAAAGTGCTCTCGGAAGTCGATTTCGCCAAGGCAGGCAACTGCAACGACGAGACGTCGACGACTTCCGGCGACGGCGCCCGTGTCAGTTTCGCTTTAATCGTCTCGGGGACGACGTATATTTCCGGGGGCGAATGGACCTCGACTCTAGTGGCCGTTTCCTCGAAACGAAATGCGGACGCCTCCTCCGCCGTGATGATCCTAGCGGTCACCAGCTGGACCTCCGGCAGCAGGTCGGTCATCTGACATAAAACACACGCGATAGTTACGCAAAAAATGATTAAATTATTATTAACACACACACAATTATTATTATTATTATTGTTATTGCTAAAATATCCCAAGCAGAAAATGTATAACTTTTGAGAGAACGCAACGATCCGCTTACCTGATCGCTCGTATCTTCGAAGAATATCTCCTGTACGTCCTCTTGGATCCTGACACCCTTTTTTTCCTCCAACAAAGACTCTCTCGAGGACTCTCTGGAGAAGGAGTCTCTCCTTTTTTTCAGCGAGCTCGGTCGCTTTGCGGGAACTGTCGTTTCGAGTTGCCGAACATCTGCGGCTCGTTCCAAAGTTGGCCGCTGCTTCTTGCCCTCCGAAAGTCTCTTAGCGTCCTTTGCGAGCTTTGAATCTTCCAGAGAATCCTTCGGCTCCATCTCGGTTAGACCCTTCAGACTCTCCCTTCTCTTCGTGGCTGTTTCGATTGTCGCTGAGAGGCCCGTGGTTTCTCCTTCTTCGCTAATCGCTGACGGACGTTTGACTCGTTGCTCCAATTGCTCGCCTGCGGGGAGGACTTCGGGAACGGAAATCTCCGCCATTTCAAGGCCAACGCATATATCGGAATAAGTCGGAATGCTGTGCCTCGTCAGGAATTCCGTTACCCTTTCGATGCACTCCTGTTCCTTTAGGCTCTTCCTCTCCTCCCTCGATCGTCGATAGCTCTCCTCGTCTTTCCTCGGAAATTCCTCGCCCTCCTGCTTCCGCCTCGACGAATCCTCCTCCACTTTCCCTTCGGTCTTGACGGATCTCTTCCCCCCTGACTTTTTCGATCGCTTTTTCCCGCCCTCTTTCTCCGCGAAGACTTTCTTCTTGGCGCCCTTCTCCGATGACGTGTCCGACTTCTCCAGCGTCTCCCTCGACGTGGAGGTTCGCCCCTCGGATTCCACGCTGCTGTGTCGCTTCAGGCTCTTTTTGCGTTCCTGATCCGCCTCTTGTGCCGGCCTCGTCGTCGCGGTGACCCTGGACACCTCTTCCGCGCTGGAGGACGGTTCCTCCTGAACGGGAGGCACGCGGTCCAGCTCCAGGGACGATTGCTTCTTTAACTTCACCTTCGGCGCCACCTTCTCCAGCCTTGTCGTCACGTCTTTAGTGTGCCTGGGTATCCTCGTCGTCTCCACGATGATCGTGCCGCCGTAAGACACGATGCTCGTTTCCTCGCGCATCGTCTTGGACGTAGTGGGGTAGAACTCGTGGATGATCTCCACGTCGTTGTCGATGTCGATGTACCGCGTCGGCGATTGTTTGTCGCGATGATAAAGTTTGCCGGATCGCCGTGCCGGGCTGCAGATCGGCGTGATCGGAGAAGCATCTTTCCAGTGATCCTCGCCCTCCTCCTCCTCGTCCTCGTCGATTTCCGGCTTGTTCGTCGAGATTTCGGTCAGTCCTGTACGTGTACGACGGGAATTATTCGTGAATCCCCGATTAGTATCTTCTAGATATAATTTTCATTGACATATTTTAAGTACGGAGATCGGAATCTTCCGATTAGTCGCTTCTTTGGCATGATGAATCTCCTGATTTCTATCACGGATGAATCATCAGCAAAAATCGTATCGAGCGAATCTATTTATACTGTTTAAACTATTCGCGTGAAGAAATATCGCATGTTAACGTGCAGTGTATCAAAGGTGTATGTTATCTATAGAGGAAATCTAGTCTAATCGCGAGATCAAAATTGATAGTTTTCGTATATCAGACTTGAATGGTAATGGCAAATTGCCACGTTACAATACACACACACACACACACACGACACACACTACACACACACACACACACACACACACACACACACACACACACACACACACACACACACACACACACACACACACACACACACACACACACACACACACACACACACACACACACACACGTGCACGCGAACGCCAATTCGCATCTGTAGCCGATGTATTTTTCATACGTGCAATTTCACACCGTTCGGCGGAAACGAGTAGTTGGAGATCGATCTAGAGGTACGACCCAAAATTACTTCGGATGGAGCACCGGATATCGAGAACTTGGAGAGTGATCGTTATCGTTGGAATAATTAATCTACTGGCCTAACTCCTCGATTTGCAATGTCGATTGCAAATCGACGAGAGTTGGAATAGTGAAGAAGTCCGCGGAAATATTCTGCAAACTCCACCTCTCAGGTGTTTCAGTTAATAGGAAATATTAATTTTATAATTTATGAAAGCACTAGAAATGAAATTGAAATTAGCTGTACAAAAGATATATAAATATATCGGATTCTTGTATATCTTAAAAATAATAAATATTCATGAATAAGTAAATTTAAATTGTCAATTGTTTGATAAATTACATTAAATAAAGTAAATATTTCGTCTACAATTGATAAACTATTAGGCAAAATACATTCCAATGTTAAAAATATTTATTTAAACTCTCTATATATGTTTTAATATTATTATTCCAATATATTTTTAACTAAAAAGAATTAGAATTGAAACGTCGCGTATTGAAATGCAATTTAATTTGATTAGTAAGTTTAGATTGAAATTGAATATGTTGACTTTAAATGCATATTGGTTAAGCAAAATCCAAATTTAGATGATTACAACTGTATACGATGAAACTACTACTATAAGAAGAATAAGAACTACTATACTATAAATATGTATATAATGAAAATATGAAATTATTCTCTATAAAATATAAATATAATATAAAAAAAGTTGAGAAACATTTAGTCTCGATACAATGGTAGTTAAGTTCCAAAAGTTTATATATTCTCTGTCTCTGTCTCTCCTTGATATCACTCTTGTCGCTATTAAAAATTTTAATTGAACTCATAATAAATGTCATGAAGTAGCGAACTTCGGAAGTCATTAGCTTAATGACGCACGAAGTATTCAAGCGTGTTTCGGATACGACAAATAATGTTTAAATTTCACGTACATATAATTACATATTCAAAATGAATGAAGCATTATAATTTTCACTATAAAAAAATGTTTAAGGCATATACGAGAAATCTCATAATCTCTTTTCGCGATCGTTTTTAATATTATTCGCTCAACACTTATACATTTTCAACGCATCGTTGAAATTAACTTTTCCGTCTGCACGGAAAGTACTCGTTCTAAACTCGCGCTGCGACGGTTTAATAGTGCGCGAATGATATTACCAGTTAGCAGAAATTCCAAATGTAGTTTTACGGTGCAGACGGTGGCGACAGCGGTAGTTTAAACTGCAGATACGATAGAAATCGTATCTGGTTTGGTCCGTCACGCCACGTTACGTTAATATGCGTCGTCGCTTTTGCAGATAAACTATAAGCGTCGGTAGTTATCGTGCTCGACGCGTCTCAGCCATGCGGTCCGCGTCGAGCATGACGAGCAGAGCTGTGTGCCTTTTGTGCGTGGTGCATCGCAGACAGAAAGTAACGTTGCGAAAACTGGAAGAGCCGATAGAGCTGTATGGAAGCGACGTCCGCAATGGCATTTAAATCATTGCACGAATCAGCTGTTCTCCGTTTAGGAGGAAGCTCAAATAGGGATGTTATAATCGACGCAACAAAATTGGCAATGTGAACACAGCTTTTTATTTCAATTCACATGAAACTTTCTTTTACAATATAAATATTATTTTAGACTCGAATACGTATATTTCAAAAATATTATTTGAGATAAAAATGATGTTTCAATATAATCTATCGTTACTGATTATCGATATTGTAACAGATTACGTACACGTTTGATCGGAAAGATGTTCGCACCAAGTATTCGCATTTATCCATTTTTCTATAACCGGATGTTCAATGGAGCCTCATTTTCAACGATCGCATGATCCTCAAAAAAATCGCATAAGACATTTTGCACTCACATCCCTTCATTTCTGCGACAAATTCGCTGTCCGTGCTTGCGAAGTCGAATGAGAAGTGCGCGAGGAAGAATCTCCTCCTCGAAGATTTTTCAACCTTCATATTTTAAGTTTCCCGCATGAAGAATTTCATTCTTCAAGCACTATCTTAGTACTTATACTTGGCGAAGTATCTGATAGAGCATTTGGCAAATTGCACATACACATCTTTTTCTTAGCAAGCAAAGAGAATGCATCGATCATTGCTGTTTTATGATATCGATTTATTTTGCATTTGAAGAAAATTTGAAAAAGTTCGTGTCTGTATTTTAGCGACAGTCCATTTATCTGTATCAATAAAATTAAATAAGAGTGAAAGACACATTTCTTATTTTCTATTGATCTTTTTGTTTTAAATTTCTCAAAATAAGAAAAATCTTATTTTTAACATATTTATGATGTTTGTGAAAATAAAGGCAAAATTATAATGGTTTTTGAGTCAACAATAAAGGTGATATTTTCTCAGCACACATATTTCTATTTTCTATTCAATATTTATTTTTTTTAAATATGCCAATCTATTTTAAATATGCCAATCTACTTTTTGCTTTAAAATAGAAGTGATTTAGTTATCGTCTTATTTTGAACGTGACATAGATGTTTTTCTGAAGCTTATCAACTCTATTCTTCGAGGTGTTGATATTTATTTAATTCACGCGAAAATGCAGAGAGCAGAGAGTTTACCGTTAGCTTATGACTTCCGAGTCGACATTCGAAAGTCGATGATCCGTTTATCGGATCGACTTGCGTACACTCGACCCGGCGAATTCAATGGCTGAAATATATACGAATCTCGACCAGACCGAATCTCACGACCGAGAACGCGAATGTCGGGGACTTTCTATTGGCGCGGCTTATTCGTCGCACCAATCTTCCGGTCTCTCCTGTGCGTACAGGCACACATGCGTTTCTCCATTTTCCACCCTACCCGATCGAATAGTCCCGTTTGCACCACCGAGTGGCACAGCCACTCTTCCGGCATTCGCCACTCGATCTCCAATTTCGCTCGTGCAATCCACGCTATTCCACGCTGCTTTTCCATCGAGTCGAACACCACCCTTCCCTCATCCCGCCAGCCACCATACATGCAACCCTTCCTCGAGTATCTGTAGGGCTGCATCTTGCCACTCCTTTGCAAGCGTCATCCCTTCCGCAAACCTCTGTGCTACGCGTGGATTCGCGCTTCCCGAAGTGTATTCAGTGTGCTCGCATCATTTGCTTTCCGGTGAACTCCTCACGAGAAGATCGAAAATGCAAAAGAGGATTTACGAGGCGTTCTAGAAGTCGCGCATTTCTTTTGACCTGGTTATCGAATCTGTTGACAATATTCTTGCTCAAAAAGAAAAAGCTTTCTGAGGATTAACCACATATTCCCTAATATTTAACAACGTAATAAATATTGTAATAAATAAATATATACATAATTATAATATATACTTTGTATATTGTGTAACATTTCTAATCCATCTTTTAATAGAAATTGTAAGGATTTTTTGGAATATCTGATAAATATATAACTTATATATATAAAACTTAACATTTGTGAAATATCTTGCACATTTCACTTACCAATATTCAGATCATATTTGACTATATTTCTGAAAAGACGAGTGAGAAAATTAAGAAAGCGAAAGAAAAATAGGAAATTAGGAAAGCGAAGGGAAAAGCAAATGGTAGAAGTAATTCCAGAGAAAGAACCTGTTTGCTGCTATAGCGTCAATTTTATCCAATCAGCAATGCTTTTAATACTAATTAGCAACTTGGCCCCATGATTCCAGGCAAATGAACGAACTAATACGTGATTAGGATAAAATTACAAAAGTAGAATGGCGTGGTATATATTTGCATCTCATTTTTCTTTTTCTATCTTCTATTTTTAGTATCTTTTTAGTATCTTAAATTTTTATATCGGTTAGAGTTGCAGCGCAGATAAAAAAATATGATACTTTATTTATATAATTCTTCGAGAAAATTTTCTCATGAAAGTCACAAAAAACCAAGAGAATTTTTAATTAAACAAATGATATAAGAATATAAAAAAAGTTTCCAACTGTACGTTGGAGTTGTAATGCTTGTAAACGATTTTGATAAAAGCCAAGTTTAAACGTTACGTTTTAACTTGTGACAACAATCCAAGAGAAGTCTTAAGGGAAGAAAAGTAGATTCATTTTTAAGGGTTAATGCTCGGACGGTTTCCGAATGAAGGGAGCTTATCGCGCTTATCTGAATCGCGAATGGCCAGTCGCGCGCGTCGAGTGAGATTGGATCGTTACCGGAAAGCAAGGACACCGTAAGTTCTCAGTGGATACGCCAAAAATAACGTCGGAATAAAACGGAATCCTCCATTACCAGATTCGCGGAAGAGGTTCATGCGGGGGTTATCTAAACCTCCCCACCGCTGTTATCTTAATGGCACTTATTGTCTTGACGTATAGTACGTTTCTCTCGGTCTCACCACCCTGCCTCTGCAGTTCCTCTTTCAGTTCTATCCTTTCTACTTCCATGCACATTAAACTCGCGAGGGTTGCGAGAAGGTGCACCACCGCTGATGCCAGTCGTTATCGTGGGAGCTGAATGCCATTCCTTCTCCGTCTTTCATTCACCGCCAGGGACGTATATAAACTTGGTAGCGCGTCTCTGTTTTCAGATTTGCGTAAATTGAACGCCGAAACTTGAATAAACCTAAGAAAGAAGATTTCAAATTATATCATGCTCTTCTAAAACCTGAGATCGTGTTTTTACAGCTTTTGCAATTTTAGTGGGATAGACGTGAGGGTCATTAATTTAAAAGCGACCAGAGATTAAACACGAATAAAATTTTGTTACTTATTAGCGCGCTTAAAACTTAATCGCGCAAAGAGCAATTTATCTTCATTTAAACAGAAAGAATTCTAAAAGAATGTCATCGATCGAAACATTTATCGAAAAAAAAAAATCTAACAGTAAGATAAATTCCGTAGTATCGAATATCAGAGCGAAGAATCACAAATACGAAATATGAAAAATTATAGTTTATCTCTTATGATATCATTTCCATAATATATCCTACAGTTGATGGAGCAGATGATAATCTCAACCACTCTACACCCTTCTACACATGAAAATATGATATACGTTTTGTGTATATCAAACAACGTGGTATCTTGATGTTGAAGTAAGGTAATACGAGATATATTCGGCGGTTCTCTTAAAACAGAAAATCGCGAGTCGTTTTGATATATACTTATGGAGGAATACCCCAGAGAAGATCCGGACGATTCCGGATTCAGCTTTCAGTATTTATTTCCGACGAAGTACATCAAGTCAAGTCTTCCGAATCTCCACGATTTCGCATGCGCTTGCGAGAATATGACCGCTCATTGTTTCCGATTTTCCGCGTTCCCGAACGTTTTGCCATGCCAACGACGACGATGATGATTAATATTGACGCGGCTATACCAGAGGTAGAGTCTGCGCCGTAGCTAAATTACGCGAACTTTAGTGGCCTCCTGTCTGCTCTACCGGCAACGGGATCTCTAGGGATTTCCCGGTTCGTTGACACGACAGTCAACGTCATAGGGCAGGACGACGTTTCGTCCTGCCGCAGTATCGCTCGCTAAGCAACGTCGAGGGTATCCTTGTACCCTTCAGATTAAATTAGAATTCCGTAATATACATGTAGCGTGGCAAGCAGAACGGGCTGATCGGTGGTCGTTTATCTTGCAACATCTTTTAATACCGGTAAACAACTCTGGCAGATTGTGTAATTACAAATCAGTAGACAGTTATTTGAATCTTTGATCGCCAATTTGAGTAGTAAGTTCTGTATTTATCGGTCGCACCTCTGTTTTATTTCAAACTACGGTGGAGTGTATATCTCTTTAAGTGAAATCGCATAACTCCGTACATCTGCATTACGTGCAATTTTGCAGGTGCAAAAACTTCTCCACCATTTCTCGCACTTACGTGCGGCTCGCGTTTATTTATACCGCCGTTATGTTTCCTATTGCGCGCTATCAGCGAAAAGAGAGAAAGAACGAGAGCATTCATTTCCTGAGGGAAAAGTTCGCGCTGGTCGCAACGCGCGTGGTGAAAAACCGCGGGACTTATTCTTGGCGTTTCCGCGAGAGACGAATTCCATATTGGATGATGAAGTCAGCGCGGCGTGAACGCGAACATTGATGGCCGGTCATTTAGCTCGGGGAATGATGTCTTCCGCGTTGGATAAAATAAAAAAAAAAGGGAAGAAAGATAGAGGGAGAAAAATAGAAACGGAGGTACACGGTCGGCGTACAACGCGGAATCGATAGCCGAAGAATTACGAGGAGGGGGAGCCGCGCGTGTGCGCGGCTGCGGAATAATTCAGTATTCTCGGCATAAGTGGCGCGCGCCGCGGAATGAACACATGCGATTCTGCCAGAGGGTGAACCTGCAAGAACCTGCCCGCGAGGCGGAAGAGAGAGAAAGACCCCACTGCAAGCTCGTTAATTATACAAACGCCGTTCGTGCTCACCTCGGCGTGGCTTGCTGACGCGAATACTCGCGCTTTGCCCGCTTTGTTGCGCGTCGATAAGCGATAAGGGTGGTTTCCACTTTCCAATTCCGACAGTCGACTATCTTGACCGGCTATTTTTATCGGCTCGCTGCACTCTGGCTGCGTCTATTGACCGTGGATGATTAACAGTCGAAAATAGTTGGAAAGAAAGTGTCTTGCGGAGGATAACGCGGATTGTTTTTATAATCGAAATTAATCGCGCGCATATATAACGATATTTTCAAATTTTATTTACTTTAAAAATAGGTTTATTAAAGTGTTCGGTGCGAAATGAGGTAGCGAGCCGTCCTCTTATTAATGCAGTTATAAATTAGCAGTACATGAAATCTTTCGCGTAATTTTTCATCGTCGCGCGTAACGTGTATGAGAGACAGAAAATTCAGAGTATATACCATATACTTAATATATATATATATATATATAT